CCTATTTGGCACGAATTTGTGGACCCAGTAATGAATAATTGTTATAACAATTATTGGCAAAACTTTATTTATTTGCAGAATATAATAGATGTCGAGAATATGGTCTGTTATCCATTCATTTGTTTTTCTTCATTTATAAATACTACTATTATTTTGATTCAGTGTTTACTTCATACGTGGTATTTGGCGGCAGACATGCAATTGCATTGGATTTCATTTATTGTAGTCATAGCTATGTTTCGGTCCATTAAATGGGGAATATTTCTCATTATTGTCGCTATAATTGCATTCTTTGTCTCCACATCTGCTGTGGTTTTTATCAATGATTTTCCTGCCGTTTATACAAACACTGGCCGAACGTAATTCCCATTAACTTTTAATAGCAATTTATTTCAGATATCATCTCAAATATTCACATAATTTATCATATTTTTATTCTTACAGTGAATTCTATGTGAATGTCTTCACAAATGTTGTATATTTTCGCCCAACACCTCATGGAATATCATTCTTCGTTGGCTTCGGTTTGGGTTATTTGATTCATAAGAAGAGAGTCGTTAAACTGTCAAAGGTTTTCATTATTATTAATGACATGTTTAAAACAATACAATGCAAGTACAGAGGCGTAACTAATACGTGGTTAAATCAATTCCAGGCCATGACTTGGTTTCTATGGGTTTCTGTGTTAACGTGCTTTGAGTTAACGCTATCCGACACTCTCTTCTATAATTACNTTTGATTAGCGTTTGAGTCCAGCGATCGTTCAAATGGACTCGTGTTGAGAGTATGGATGGCATCGAAAGTGTGACCAAACTATCGTCGCTTACATTAGCGGTCAGTTTTCTGCCCGACTTTGTTGTGAAATTGAATTGTTTGATACGACCGGCGGTCGTCTGCTCGGCGTATAAGGCATATGTGGTGCCGACAGTCGCGTGACCGCAAAGCGGCACCTCTTGTCCTGTTGTAAAGTATCTGATATTATAAACACTTTGATTATCTTCTCCTTTGGACACAAAGGCAACCATCGGTTGATTCAATTCTTTGGCAATTTTAAGCTTTGTTTCATCGCTTATGTCATTCTTTCGATATGAATTTGTTAATAATTTATAGTTTTTACAGTTATTTAATTAATGGCTTCAAAACTTACATCATTTTCGAGTGGAAATACTACTAAAGGGTTGCCTCCAAACGGTTCTGTTGTGAAGACATCCAATTGTAAGAAGCGATGAGCCATTGGATTGCAATATATTGTTATTTATAATAATTTCTTAATTTAATATTATATTAATTTTCAATAATTTACACAAATTCACGTCTATTTTATAGATGAAGACTACAGTAGTTGTAATGTCTGATAATGTAATGATTTAAATGACAGCCATATGTGATAATTGATTAATAGTCATGTTTGAGTCTATTCACTAAAACTTTGATTACTGCTATAATTGTATAATTTAACTGATAATCTAATTTCAAGGATTTTGAGCGTAATTGAGTACAGTATTAAAGTGACAGCATTTTATTATATTTATAATTCAATCATTTTATTCATATATTAATAGATTATTTTTAAAAGTATTGCTTCACAAAGTAATGCTACCCTTTAATACAATGACCGCATTGCCACTCAAGTCCACACTATCGCTGTTCATAAGGCACCGGACAATACCGGGTCTCTGCGAGACCTGTTTGGCGACGAGTGTCTGCGCGGGTAGAGCCAGTCTGTCCTCCCAATAGGGCATGAGCTGTGTGTGGGCTGAGCCGCACACCGGGTCCTCATTAACTCCAGCCCAGGGCAGGAATACTCGCGAATAGAAGTGAAAGCCGTCTCTCGCGAAGTCTCCCTTCTGTGTAACAGTTATGCCATTTCTCACACCATTTCTGTTCTTCTCGTCGATCAGATTCAAGGCATCGAAATTGGGCTCAACTTTATATAAGTCTATGTCCGGCGAATCCTTGAGTCTAATCAACACAAACTTGTTTGAGATGACCGTTTCCTCCACATCACTGATAGACAGTTTTGAGCCCAAAGTCAATGCAATGATATTTCGCGTCCACTCGTCTGTGAGAGGAATCGGTTTGAATTGCGAGGGAAGTGGCAGTGAAATGGTTATCAATCGGTTCTCATCGATACTCGTGTCCAATAGTTCGGCAAACATTTTGGTTTCGAAGTAATAGTTTTGTTTGGATGTGTTGTCTGTGTTGTTCAGGGGTTGTCGTGTGTGAAGTGCGAGTACAGTGGCGAGAGTGGCATGGCCGCACAGGTAAAACTCTTGGGTTGGCGTAAAGTATTGGATTTTGTAATGATTTTTGCCTGAATTATCCGAATTCTTGGTCCATTTGTTTGACACAAATGCGGTCATTGGTTGGTTCACTTCGGAGGCGATCTTTTGTTTAGTTTCTTCCGTTAAGTCGTCCTGAAATCAATGTCATGTCAATTGAATTCAAGTGTTTAAGGATATAATTTTCAATATAAGACTTACGTTATTGTCTAGAAAGCAAACGACTGCCGGATTGCCAGCGAATGGTGCGCTCGTGAAGGCATCGATTTGATAGAAATCTAATTGCATTTTCGGTTCAATTTCTCTCATGTGATGTCGATTTTGTTCTCAAAGCTGTTCATTAAACTGACATTAATTTATAGTTTTGTTTGCAATGAGATTATAAAAGTACTGCACTTTCGAGGGTTATTTAAGGACATTTTAAAAACAATTTCATCATTTTTGCAATACTTATCATAATTTGTAATTTTTCGATAAAAGCATAAAATTGATGTCCAACTTGTAGAAGCTTTGGGTCCAACTTACCTTGGTTAGGTATAGCCGCACTTAATATTCAGACTCACTGTACAGTAATATCTATAGTAGTTATTAATAATTAATAATAATTATTATTAAATCAGTAGTTTATGGTTGGATTCCTTGACAATATTATTAATAACTTTAAACATAATATATTTATTTAAATGCATTTAAAATCTGAATATCAGATATGAATGGAAAACCTAAAAGCAAATGTCAAAATATTTGATAAAACCTTTTTTAATAAAATTTAAAAAATTAATTAATAATTAAATGTCAGTTAATTAAATGTTTAAATTATTTTATTCGCATGCCTTACATAAGAGTTCTTATAATTGAGTTATGGATTCATATGAGTTTCGGCCCTCATTTCAATTGATGTATATTTTTCATTTCGTTTTCGTTTAATATATTTAAACAAATAATTTAATGAATTAATCAATGGATACTCAAAGAGTATGGCAAATATTAAGCCCAATGTATAGGCAATGCAAACGTGTTGTATAAATATAATGAGCATTGAATACATGGTTGTGTCGATGAGATGCCGACGGGTGCCCATAAAGACATAGATAGACCACGAATGCACTAAATATGTCGAGTAAGTGATCCGAGCAAACGGTACAAACACTTTCCACGACAACAATTTGTCCACAACTCCTCCATTGCCTGCAATTTATAAAGTTTTATAACTAGTTTAAAAGTAATTGTTTTAAAAATCTATGTCAAAACCAACCGGTAATACAGAGCCATATAGTCATTGCCAGACAAACGGCATATAATAGTCGAGACGAGGGGAAGACGAGGGCAGAGATATACCTATTGAAGGGTTGGCCGTAATTATAGAAGAGAGTGTCGGATAGCGTTAACTCAAAGCACGTTAACACAGAAACCCATAGAAACCAAGTCATGGCCTGGAATTGATTTAACCACGTATTAGTTACGCCTCTGTACTTGCATTGTTTGTGCTGCCATCCGCTAAAATAAAACACATAAGTTTGGAGGACATCGATAGAGCGGCGGCAGACGCTCACAGATTTATCGAGAACTATATTAAAACGGAAAGAGAGCTCATCGATAAGGGTTTGACTTCTATTCTCTATGCATATATTGAATGGGATTCAAGAATTTGAATACAATTACAGGTGTATTCCAAAGACACGGATCAACTCAATCGCAACACCAGGCCTTCTTCGGGCCGTTTGACGAAAACCAATTCCAGTTAACAAAAGGAGGATTTATTAATTTGTTGACTACTATTAAGATAAAAGAGAGGTTAGATATTGTTATATAACTATTGCATAAGCTCTATGTACATTAACTCTGGAAATGAATTACAGAAATATAGTGCAGTGTATTTAGTATAACAGGACTTCCCTTAAATTGAACAAAAGTATAACTTAATAATGAAATATACTGTAGAATATAATATACTGAATAATTATTTTACTGGACTGTAAAAAGTGATAACGATTATGATTTGAAAATATTAGTTATATATTTTGTGTAAAACAGATTTAAGTTGACTAACGAAGAGGCGAGGGATGGGCTGTGGAAGTACTCATTGGAAAACACAGAACTGGAAAAGTATTGCCTTCAAGAGCCGGTTTGCAAACTATCCAAATATAGGACACCCGACGGCAGTTGTAATAACCTTCAGCGACCACTTTGGGGGAAGTTTGGAAGTACTCATTGGAAAACACAGAACTGGAAAAGTATTGCCTTCAAGAGCCGGTTTGCAAACTATCCAAATATAGGACACCCGACGGCAGTTGTAATAACCTTCAGCGACCACTTTGGGGGAAGTCTAACACACCGTTCAGTCGATTAGTGCCTCCCGACTATTCCGATGGACTCAGTATAGCACACATCCTATCTATTAATTTATCACTTTATTTAATACTAATCTTACGGTTCAGGTGTTTCGAGAATATCAGTTACAGGAGAAGAGTTGCCGGGCGCTCGAGTCGTATCGTTAGCCGCGGCCACTGATAGCAATATTAACGATAAAAAATTTACCTTATTTGTTATGCAATGGGGACAAGTGAGCGCACATTGTTGTAGTGTTTTGATTAATTTACTCATAATTAATTGATTTTAAAATTAGTTTATCGATCACGACCTGACACTCTCGGCGTCCACCAGAGCGTCGACCGGTGAGGGACTGATCTGTTGTCAAGATGCAGAGACCGCTGGTGTTCGCAATTTTAGGCACCCGTCGTGTCTCCCGATTCCCATCCCGAGAAACGATCCCTTTTATTCTAAACACAGGCAAACCTGTATGAACTTTGTGCGCAACGCCCCCAGTCCTCGGGCTAACTGTGCTCTCGGTATTAGACTCTTATTTATGATATTTATAAGAATCTGGTCTAAAAGAATGCATTTTCAGGACATAGGGAACAGATGAACACTTTAACCCATATAATCGATGGATCAATGGTTTACGGATCAGATGCCGACCGAATGAAGCACTTGAGAGAATTCAAACGAGGTTTTTTGACACACTTTTTAATATAATAATATCTAACTAACTTTATATTTCAATCTATCATTTATTTGGACAACTTTGACATAATAGGAAGACTTCGGATATCAATTGTAAATAAAGTCGAGTTTTTACCTTTCGATACACAAAACCGAAGCGACGAATGCGCTGTCCCTGAAAGAGATCGCTCGCGAGTCCAGTGTTTTGTCGGCGGTTTGTATTCATTCAACACTTTCTTACTTTTGAAAAACATTTCATTAAATATAAGATCATAACTTTTTGATGGCATTTTCTCTCAAACTTTGGGTAAAATTATAATTAATGAGTGAAATGAATGTTTAGGTGATGTGCGAGTGAATGAACAGACAGGTCTGGCAATGCTTCACAATCTGTTACTCCGAGAGCACAACAGAATCGCAGAAATATTACTACAACTGAACCCCCGATGGAGTGATGAGACCGTATATCAAGAGTCCAGACGTATTGTGGCCGCAGAGATACAACACATCACTTATAATGAATGGTCGCCTCTTATCATAGGTTTCGCAACAAAATAATACTTTAAATTTAAGATTAAACGCAAATCATTGTTATTTATGTTTGAAATAATAGGTCGATCCGTAATGAAAGAGTTTAACATTTTGCCCAAAACCTATGGCTATACCTTTGATTACGACCCGAAACTGAACCCCAATATAATCAATTCGTTCGCAACGGCTGCCTATCGTTTTCATACTTTAATTCAAGTCTGCTTTTAAATAACAATCATATTTAGGATAAATTTAAACTTAATTACAAATTTCATATAAAATAGGGATTTATTGAATTAATGGACAGCAAAGGAAGGGTTACAGAAAAACTTCAATTAAGAAATCTATTCAATAATCCGCAGTCGTTGTATAGAAACGGAGCTTTCGATGAGTACCTGAATGGCTATGCGGGCGAACCCACGCAAACATTTGATAAGTTTTTCACACAAGAAGTACTGATGACATAATGATTACTTTAGTGACAATAGTATTTACATTAAATTTTGCAATTAATGTCTTGAAAACAGTTAACCGAACATCTATTTGAAGAAAGAAATACCGGATTTGGTATGGATTTGATTGCATTGAATATACAGAGAGGCCGAGAGCACGGACTGCCCGGTTATAACGCGTACAGAAAGATATGTGGACTCAACCCAATCAACTCGTTCAATGAGTTGGATAGAGTGATGCAATCGGGTTCAGCGCAAACTTTTTCCAAATTATACAAGTACAGTTTAATATTAGTTGTAAATTAATTTGAATTTTGCAATAACTTGATAACCATATTATCAGATCCGTTGATGACATCGATTTGTTTATCGCTGGAAATCACGAGAAGAGAGTGTCGGACGCTGTGGTTGGGCCGACATTTGCCTGCATTTTGGCCGAACAGCAACGAAGGGGTAAATTAGGCGATCGCTTCTGGTATGAAAATGGAGATATGGCTCACTCTTTCTCTGAAGGTATGTTTGTTTTGCGTTAAATATAATTAAACGATAGCTAAATGTGTTGAGAAAGTAATGTTTGAAACAACTTTCAAATCAATTTCACCAACAGATCAATTGAGAGAAATACGAAAAACAAGTTTAGCGCGACTTATATGTGATAACGGCGACCAAATCAAAATCATGCAACCATTGGCTTTCCTTCAACCCATCAATTGGTATGCATTTTCATATTCATTATAACAATTAATTGTAATTTAATTTGTAATCAATATTACTGTTATAATCTCAAGGAATGCTCGCATTTCTTGTGACAAAATAGCAAAAGTCAATCTTCAGTATTGGAAGGGAGAGAAAGACTTCGGAAGTTCTGCGAGACTTTCCGAACGCAATTGATTTTCAATTCATAAGTAAACTATTATTTAATTAAACCATTATTAATTAAAACATAAGTATTTTAATGTATGGTTTTTGGTATTAAATAAAATATTTTTAAAGTTATAAAATTGTTCAGTATGTTTACGGGAATCATCAAAGCTTAAACAAATTGCAAAACCAAATTAAAAATATGAAATTAAATATTTTAAAATCTCTGCTAACGTAGAATATCAGAAGTCGTAATGCTCTTAACAGGTATATTAATAGATATAACACATGTACATTATATTTTCACGTAATAACAAATGTTTTTTGCAATTGCAAGAAATTATTAATGCAATTTTTAATTGGAATTATTTATTAATTAAACATAAATTAATTTTACACACAATTCACAGACAGTTTCATAAATTTGATGAAATGATTAAAACTAACTTTATTTAAAGTAAAGTAAATGTGTTAAAAGGTTATCCATAAAATAAATATGATAATGAATGGTCCGAATGATATGAATGGTTGGACTAATAATTTGTTGGAAATGTTGGCCAAAAAAGAGACAGTAATGGACAGAATCGAGAAATCGGGTGACAGTCTAATGGAGAAAATATACGACACCAAAGCCATCAAAGAGGTCACTTTCACGGGTGTGCTCACCGATGAGAGTAAAGCATTGGCCCGCAAACGGATCAAATACATGATTGAATTGAAACCAGTGTTGATCGACATCTACACCAAAGCCGTGGGAATGGGTGTCGATGAATACGACGACAAGTATTTCTTCAAACTCTGTCACAACGCCTACAACGAGATCATCGATGAAATCGTCGCCGAAGCGGCCAAAGCCTTCAATCTAACCGTTGAAGAGTTAACCGAAGAGCCGTCGAATGCAACACTTGACGACTATATGAGACACTTGCGGTCATCGATGGACAGCGATTCCTTGGCTCAAGTGATGGCAACAGTTATGCCTACATTTATGGTACCAATGAATGTGGCCTATCATCTCCACTCACTCGACCAATTCAATCAATTGAATCCATTCTTCCAGTTATTGATGTTTCAGAAAATGAATTTGAGATCAATTTATGATGAAATCCGACAAATTGTCAACAGATTGCCCGAAGAAGACGAGACCAAACTCTGCGATCTATTCGTTAAAGGACTCGACTTTGAGCTCCAATTGTTTCAAAATTAGTTTTATTCATAAATAATAAGCTTTTAATTTAATTAATGCTTTATTTTATTGTTGAATAAATGTCTAAATTATTTAATTTGCTTTAAAATTTATATATTTTCAATGTGTACCGGTATTTAAATAAAATGCTGCATAACTATTGACTATTATACTAAAACTAATATTAAGTTATACTATATGTACAAACATTTGGATAACAAATTCAGCGTCTGTTCGCCTGAATACGAATTCGTATATAGGAATCAAATGACTCTTTAATGCATTTCAATGGCAAATATGGAGTCAATTAAAGTGAAGAGTAATTTAAGTGAATGAATGAATGTTTTCAGTATTTCGAGTGAATCAAAAGCAACAACAAAACAAATTATGTATTCATACAAAAAATAACAAATTTATAAATCATAAAAAACTATAAATCAGTTGAGCTGTCATTTTCACATCACTCTATGAATTATTTAGAAAAAGTATTTGTCGTTAAAATTGCATTAAAATTATATAAAATCTATAATTTACTGTTATATTTGGATCTATAAATAGCAAACAAATCAAACGGTTCCTCAAACAGTAGGGGCGGAAGTGGTGTGCAATGAGTGGAGTCGTAATTCTTCATGTGTTTCTTCGCCTAACATTGCAATCGCATAATTAGATTATCATTTTTATACTATAACATGAAATACTCACTAAAAATATAATTAATTTGATCTTCAGTTCGGACGACATGTCATCTCCAATGAGGAGCGGGTATTGAGCGCCGGTTCTGTCGATGTATGACAACAATTCAGTCATACAGTAGTCGTCCCGCACTTCATAAGTGTTTACGATTGCGGCTAAAATCCAAACAAATATTACAGTAAATATAAAATTGACAGCAAATACAGAGTCAAATCATGCATACATTGACCGTTTGGATCACTCATTAGCCAATCTTCGAGCGCCTTCTTTGCCTTCTCGTCGGCCATCAGTTTCGGGAAACGATTGTTAAGTAGTTTCAAAAGCATATCATTGCCCCGATTGGTGCGAAACGGCTCCAAATGGTTAGTATTGATTATCTCGTCCTGAAGGCGCCGAATGAAGGCCACGGGACCCGCGTATTGGTTCAGATTTGCCGACACATTCAAATTGAAATAACCACGGATGACGTTCTGTACGATTGGATCTAAACATCAAACGGGTTACCAATTAATGGCAATTCAATCAATTTTCAAACCCAAAACAAGACATACTTATGGCGTTAGGCATCTTCGCCTCAGCCAATGGCAGCACGTCGTCGAAAGAGGCGTCCAAAACCACACCTTTGATGTCCTGATACTGCTGTGCGGCCCAAGAGGTGGGAAACCCGCCGATAGACCAGCCGAAGAAAATGATTGAATCCAACGGAAAGCCCAACCGCTCGACGGCGAAGTGAATGACCACATCTATGGCGTTGATATCGTTCTGCGGGAACGGGAGACCAGTGCTGCCGCCAAAGCCCGGGTGATTCCAGCCGAGCACTGAATAGCCGGCGTCTAACGGTGTGGACATTGTGCCGATCTCGTAGAAGCCGGCGTTGCCTTCGCTGCATATGACCAGAGTCTTGCTCTTCGGCGAACCCCTGACCCGGCGGTCGACAAACATAGTGTCGATATGATTGCCATCTCTGGCCAACAGTTTGTATCGCTCGCCACTGTTCTCCTCGACGAGTTTGGTGCGGCCGTCTTCCAGAGCGCCGC